ATATATATATATATATTCATTCTGGGGCTGAGCGCTGCAATTGGAGGATCAGTTTTTTTTTTGTTTCTGTTTTTCCATTTAGTTAAATATCCAATGTCCAAGTCATTCTTGGTTCATTCTTTGAAATCCTGTCTTGTTTCAAGCTGTTTTTCCAGTTTCAATTCAGCTGAGAGGATGTTGAGACGTACGAGAATCTCGTTGGGCCTGTAAACACTTTCACCCAGGATCATTTGGACGTGTTTGTGTGTGTGTGAGTGTGTGTGTGTGTGTGTGTGAGTGTTCACTGCACTGACACAGCAGTACATGCTAGAAGTCAGAGCTACTTTAAACACACTTAACATAAAGTATGACCGTGTACATCCCATAATTTCTGAACCCCTCCACTCGACTGCTGCTCCGGACGAAAAATCTGCAGACTCAGACTCCATTACTGACATCACGTATTGACTCAATTCCTTAGTGATTATCATTGGCTAAGGTATGAACTGAGTTCAGATCCATTAATGAATTCACTCCTTCATCAACTGTGTCATATCTGGGGCTGTACCACAACTGTGACACTTTGGACTTCTGTTGTTGTTGTTGTATTCTTGGTCGTCTACGAGAACTGGTCCTAACTTCCCAGCCCTCGTTCCCCCCTCGACTGTTGAAATGCGATTTAAAGGTCAAACGTTGACCTGAGGAGGGACGATATTTTGTGGCAGCTTCACTCCGTACAGCAAAGCCTCATGTTTTGAAAAAAGAAAGCGGGAGAACTCGGACCTGCACGCAAACGGACATTTACCAGGCCTGTGCCACGTGGCTCAAAAAAAAAACAAAAACAAAGAATCACTGGTCCCTCATAGTGACAAAAAATGTGTTGAATGTCAGCTAAAATTTGACTAATTTGTAAATGTTGAGGACGGATTAAAGACGTTAAAAGAAACAAAACTGCTCCTCTATTTTCTATTCATTGATTCATTCGTGGATGAAAATGTAAATGAGTAAATTTAGGTGAAATACCTTTTTAATTGTTTCCCACCAATTACTAGGTCAAACAGTCCCTGAAGGAATTTTTAATCTCCAGTTTCTTTACCATGAAACTGGAGACGGGAGCAGGACAAGACAGGACGATGACATGTCTTTTTTTTTTTCCCTCCTAAGGGTTTAGTCATTTAATACTGCAATTGTTGTATGCCTGTCAAAATAATACATTTATTTCAATTAATTCATTAAATAATTGACAAGTCAGAAGGGGGAAAAAAGATAAGTCGAAAAAAATAAATAAAAAAAAAAATCAATCATAAATGACCAGAGTTTCATGAGGACTTTTCAGAGACTGATGTGTCACAGAAACGGTTGTTTTTGTAACATGATGAGAATAGCACAAAAAGCAGGAGTGGGGGGAGGAGGGGGGCTGTCCTTGTTGTTACTGAGTCAACAGCCCCCAGAAAGGCTTCAGGTCAAAATCAGAGTTTGTGTGAGAATATCACAGTTGAGATGTTGTTTTTTTCCAAACTTAATATTTGTTTTTTAATTTATAATAATTAATAATTTAATAATAATTGTTTTCAAAAATTTTAGGAGACTATATTTTATAGGAATTAGAATAACAATAGGAAGAAAAAGATCATGGGAAAATAATAAAATACTACTACTAGTAATAATGATGGATGGTGTCATTATCAGTGGAATTCTATAGGGTTTTGTTTTTTTTTTTTGTTTTTTTCCCTAATATTCCTCTCTGGCTCAACCAGCTTGACTGCTGTGAATAGTTCACATTCGCACACGCAGAATTTACAGACCGTAAAGTGAGCTGCAGATATAAGGAGGGCAAGGTGTTGGTCAAAGGCAGCAGAAACGAAGGGAAACTGCTGAGAGCGCACGACCAAATGACACTAACACTGACACTGTCAGTCAGTTGATTGCAGTGTATCCATTTCACCGTCATCGTTCTGCTCTGTGATACTTCGGAACGCGTCGGAATTTCCTTGATGAACCAGCCTTAACTGTTTCTGTAAACGAAGGAGTTTTACATCGACTTACATCCTCATTACTGTTACCTGACTGGAATCATTCTAATCTCCTTGTTGTGCAAGAGCCGCCCCCGTCCCTCTCCACCACCCCCCCCCCACACACACACACAGACAGACACAGAGAGTTATAAACAGGCGTACGCACCAAGACCTATTAAAATAATGGATTCATTGGTTTTTTTCCCCTGTTTTAATTGTAAACCTAATCACCCGAGACAGGAAATCCACTCACCGAGTCCTCGGGAGGTCTCTTGATCTTGATCCACTCCACCGAAGGCCCCTTCACCTGCAGAAATCTGTGGAAAAGGTTCTTGAAGCCATCGAAGTCTTTCTCGTACACCTGAAAGGACAAATATTTTATTCATCGAGGACAGAAAATAATCTGGTTTTGAATCAAGTTTTGTTTATCCCTGATTTGAAGAGTAAAATTCTGACAATAAAAAAAATAAAATAAAATAATGGTGGTGCCATCCTTTTCCAGATGCCAAGCATGTGGTCACTCTGGGAATCGAACCCAAGACTACCTGCGCTCTGCTTCAGAGGCAGGCGTGTTAAACGCTAACCTATGGAACTCTCGTTCTGCTAAAAAAAACGAGAGTGAAATTTGTTTGAGCACAAGGAGTGGAGAGGTCATGGGGTCAGGCTTTGAGGAAAGGGGAAACAGGAAACTGAGGTGACAGTTTTCACTGCCTCTACCAACGTGGACCAATACACGACTGGAAAACATGACGTAACCCTGAACCGTGAGCGTCCAATTCTGCTGGACCGTTCAAAAAGTAGGGTCAGAAATCCTGGTCCCTTGAACTCAACATGCACATAAACTTTTGTTCAAGCTAAAAAAAAGAAAAGATAAACGACACATGGCGTATCATTCTCATCACAGATGAGTCTCTGCCCCAAAGCACAATTCCTTTCGTTCACATAAGACAAACCTCCTCAGGCCCAGCTGGCTGGGTCTCTGCGTCAAAAATGTTTTGCTTAAAAACACATGCGCCTAGCCTCTAGTGTGTCACTCCTGTGTTTGCCAAGTACTTGCGCGTGAACCCACCATCCCCTTAAATCACAACCAGATGGTCATCCGGAGACAAAGAGAGTGAGTCAGTGTAATCTGTACCTCTTTCTCGGCCTCAGTGGTGTTGTCCAGCAGCTTCTCCAGCTCGGTGTACATGAGGGTCTCCAGCTGCTGGCGCATCATTTCCTGGAACTGAGCCATCACTCCGTTGGCCAGTCCGTTAGTCAGACCTGAAGGGACCAGAGGATGGGAGAAAAGCGTCACGCAGCTGCAGCAAATCTGGAGTCTAACGTGAAACATGTCCTCGACCTTCACACAGCTCCTTTTTCCACTTTTGCTCAATAACTGGAACCATGTGCGTTAGCCTCCTCCACAGCTAACCCTTTTTTTTTTTACATATAGCAGCACTACCAATCAATCCAATTCCTTTGGTGGTATGTATAGTTATGGCCAGAAGATAAATATTAGACAAGTTCTTAGCACATTTGTTTTCCAAGGGATGTCACACAAACGAAGTCATGCCTTTCGCCGCTTTTCATGTCTTACATATTTCCTCCCTGGTTTCACTTTGTTTAGTCATTTGCTTCTCTAAATCAAACACTCTGTGATGTTGTGCGAGGATTATTTGTCTTCCACTTGAATGTGTACCAGATGCTAAACCGAGTGAAAGGCCTTCTTTGTTTAATTCCTGGGAACTGCCTTTCACACACAGTCTTGATATATAGACAGAAAAAGGTGTCAACAAAATGAAAACTTCCTTCAACTCCATGAAGGATCACCATCCACCTCCAGCCAAAACTGAACATCAGTTCATGAACATAACATGAGGAAAATCAATTCTTTCCATCTCCGAGTTCTGTCTGCTTTAACGCTGCCGTGGTCGAGGATAAAAACAGAAATGTTTTCCCCTCTCACTGTGAGCCTCCGGAACACCAAGGTGGACAGTTCATCCAATCCACCACACCGTTTGTGGGCTGTTTTTTTTTTTTTTGGCTAAAAATGATTTTCAATCTGATCAACTCCTAGTGTGTGTTCAGCGTTCAGTTGCTTCACTGCGATCTGAGAAGATTTCATCTTATACAAGTCAGCGTTCAGTACTTCACTGCGATCTGAGAAGATTTAATCTTATACAAGTGAATCTGAAAACAACGGAACAGTCTTTGTGTCGTTGTTGTTGTACCAAAAGAAGTTTAAAAGCCCGACCCAGAACTCACACATTCAACTACAGACACAGAGCAGCAGGAAATGAATAGCTGTTATGTCAGCGAGGTCTTAAAAGATAGTTAAAGGTTATTTGGGCCATATTGTTTCCTCATTACGATACCTATAGAAGGCAAGGGAAGGATGGGGGTTGGGAGACTGGAGCCGGTCACGACTGCTGCAAAAGTCACACGATGAGACAAACAACAAATTACGCTCACAGTCACCTCAACAAGTAGATCGGACAATTAACCCCGAATCCCTCGTCAAGCACAGATGCTGGAGAACATGAAGAACAGCAACATGGAGGACATGAGCCAATGACCTTCTTACTCTAGAGCAAGAGCAGTAAACATCCCATGGTGAAGTCGACCATAAATAACAATGTCAATCATTTACAGTTTGTAAAACCAGTTCTAAACCACGCATCGTTAGATTGTGTGAAGTGTGGATATCGCAGTGACAATAAAAAAAACAAAGGACTAATTAGACACTCGAAGAACTGAAAACGTGATTGACAGACTCAGTGTGACTTTTTGGTGTGTGATGGATTCTTCAGTCCTGAGGGGAAAATTTGAAGCAAAGTTATGTTACACTCACTGTCACCACCGCACACAAAACAAAATGCAAATCTGTTTTCAGAGGCCTCATTCCCTGAAGATGTACAGCGTCTGACTCAAGAGTTTGAATTCATTTTGTTTCTACCTCCTCCACCTTTGCTTGTTTGCAGCAGGGTGAGGACGAGTCAGTAAACATCACTTTACTGACTGGACACACGTTCGTACGAAGGTTGATTTGTGGCATTTCTTGACATTAATTCTTTGGATTTTGCCATTCCCGGCCTACTCTAACAAGTTGGGGAATAAATGTGTTTAAATTAATTATATCTAAATCTTGAATGACAACTATTTCCTTCTTTCAGACTAGCAGTGTAGGGCTGAACCTTTGACTCCTAACCTGTTGCCAAATCGGTGAAGGTTCACTTTTTTAGAGCTGTACAAATTTATTGGGTTTTTTTTTTTTTTTTTAACTTTTTTAGAGCTGTACAAAGTTATTGGGTTTTTTTCAGTGACTACATGATCTCGGAGAAGAAATCGCTGCATCCCAGGTGGGTAACTGCCAAGAGTAATGTAGCCCAGTTTTCATATAGGTCACACGGTGTGGACTAACCGTCACCTGTTATAAGAGTTGGACTGAATTTAAACTACTCTCCCAGTGTAGAAAAAAAAAAACTTAAGAAATGGACTGAATTTATGTCTGTGCTAAAAATAGAAAAACATTTTTCCCCCCTCTTCAAAGGCAGCACAGCTGAAGTTAAAACACTCTGTGAACTCTTATTGTGGAGAGTTCCTCTTCACCTTCAACAGCGCTTTCTCTTTCTTAGAACATGTCAGTGCAGTGCCTTAATGGGTCATGTACTGTTAAACTGAAACCTTGTGGCAAATATATATCATCATAACTGACAGTTCTGTCACGTCAGCATCACCACAAGCAACATGGATCTGATAAGCCTGGGAATGGCATCCAGTATCTAGGAAGAGATAGAATTTGAACTTTTGGGCTCCAACAGTCAGTGAGTTAGCCAACCCTAAAAATGATAAACTAATTATCTCCCAGTCATTAACCAACTATTTCAAAATGTGTTAACTTCAGCCTCTGAATCCTATAAAGTAAGTCAGAGTGCAGAGACGGACACGCGTTGTGATCAAATCAATCATTTTGACAGGTTGTATTTAGTAGCAAATCCGTGACATTGACTACCTTGGATTGTAATCTTCTTCCGAAATGATAACAATATTCAACAGATTAGTTTGGGGTACAAAACGTCAACCTTCAAAGATTTGACAAGTTCAAATCTGTCAAACCTTTTTGGTCTTAATAGTATTCGCCAACCTTCACTGAGTCACTGCGAGCCTTTAATAATGATGTGAGAAGAAACTATGACCTAATTTCTTGGGGGGAAAATGTGATTCCAGAACATTACACAGACGGAAACTGGCTCCTTGGAATACGTTTCTAGAACATGACCGCAGGAATTCTGTCAAACGTTTAACAGTCAACTTTTTTTTTCTTTTTATTCAAGTGGGTGAGTGTTGAACAGCGACCACTTACCTTGAATCAGAAGTGCCATGTTTCTGCTGCTGCTGTGAGTAGAACAAGTAAACCAGGACAAACGTAAAGCTAAATTCTTAGCGTATGAATCGGAGATTTGGAAAAAAAAAGAAAAGAAAAAAAAAGGAAAAGTTCTTTAAAAAATAAATAATCCCGAAACTCTTTCCGTCGAAAGGTGCGGGTCCTTTAAGAACCGACTCACAGCCGAGGATCACGGGGAGTGACTGATCATCCTGTTTACCCTGGATATTTCAAAGGTGCACATTCAGCCGTTCACCGACACAAACACACACTCACACACGTACTGCACCCACGGCGTACTTCATTTATTCTGTGAATGTGAACGAGGAGGAACCTTTTTCTCGCTGTCAGTCACCGCCTTCCCTTTCCCCAACCCTCCCTGTGTACGTGCAACCACGTCACAGATCCTGGTTGTGACACAACACAACCCCGGGCCATTTTTTTTTTCTCTTTTTTTTTTCTTCTTCACGTTCCTCGCCCTCTGCTTTTGTGTAATGAAATAATATCGTGACACAGAAGTCAAACACTCGTTAAACACACAATGAACGACGGGGCCGCGAAGTTGACGAGATTATTAAACCAGAGTGACTTGTCTTCGGACTGACAACAACTTCACACACCGACAGGCTGCGACAACGACCGGGGGAATCACGACTGGTGTAACTGACGGTTACATTTCACCAGATAAACACTTAAACGCAGCACTATGTATGGGTTACGTTGTGTACCTGAACGCAACACGGTAAATGATTAAAAAAACCACACACTGTCAAACGGCGCTACTTGAGCTACAACATTGCGACATCCTTCAGCAGTAAAACGTCAAATATATCAGCTAGCCTTTGACGTATTTATCTTACTGTGTAAATAAGGACGTTGGTGAAAGTGACGATGAGGTCGTTCTAGTCCTGGTCCAGGTCCTGGTTCCTGCGGCGGGTCTGAAGAACCAGAGGAACCCACAGGGACGAGTCAGGAAGGCGGGGGATACACCTCTTTCCCCTTTCATTTCAACAAAACTTTGATCATAATTAAATCTTCCCGTTTCCAAAAAATTACAAAATAAAATGAAATCTTTGAATCAATCAATCAAATCAATATTTACGAAATATATATAAACGAAAAGTTCGTTTTAAAAAACGCTTTAATTTTGTCAGGCATATCACGTGAAGACCACGTGATGATGCTAACCAATGAAAATGCCGTTTTTTCCCTGTGACGCATTTTTGCCCACAAATGGCTTTTTGCTACGTGCCAAACCGTTTCCTCCGAATACAAGGGCCGTTTTTTTTTTTTGGTTTGTTATAAAGTCTGACTCAGTGTTCGGTTCAACAAACTTACCACTGATTTTCATATAAGTCAGACTCACCGGCTCTGAATGAAGCCATTATCATACGAGCTATTTGGATCAGCAAGTCTAATATGAAGTTTCAAACCAAAAAAAAAAAGGAAAATATTTTAGTTTTTCCAAAATGTATAATTTCAGTCAAATATATACGACCAGCTGATGGATGGAAAGTATTTGTTTTACTGCGGGGAAATACTGCCCCTACCTGGTTAAGTTGTACCATGACACTTTGCAGCAGTGATCTGGCGATGCACTATTATCTCGAAACTTTACTTGATAATGGTAATGTGGTCATTAAAAAAAAAGGTCACATTCAGACTCTTCACGTCACAGCTAATCTGATTGTTTACAAGACGAATACATTTAACTACAACTGACTTGTTATTGATTTAACACTAAAATCACATAAATGTAAATATAAGAACATACTATATTTCTGACCTTAAATTGCTGTTCACTTATCCCACAACGATAACACGCGCAGCGTGGATGTCAACATAGTTTTCGTAGCTCTACACATGCGTTACAATGTGCAGCAACAGAGAGTTTCAATTTAAACGGCTTGGCAAGAAACAACAGACATCTGGCTAAAAAAGAGAAAAGAAACAGTGATTACTGGGTTTATAACTCTTTTATAATGTTGTACATTTCTTACAATTGGTGGAAGTGCGGCGCATGTTCTCTTCTTCCTGTATACGTCCAAAACACACGAGTATAAATCCAACAGAACATTAACCTGTTCTCTCTTCATCTCAGGTGCAAACACACAAACACACACACACTCGATGCATGGGGCTGGTGGAGTGGTTCATCACAGACGGGCATCTGGAGTCTTGGAGTCATCTGTCACTGGTGGTGGCGCTGCCCCGTCTAGTCATAAGTCCAGGAAAGCCAGAGCTGTGTCTCTTTCCTCGATCAGCTCTGCGGCCGTGGCGTCCATCTTGGACCGGGAGAAATCATTGATGGGGAGGCCGTCAACAATCTTAAAGGACTTGTCCTGAGAAAAACAGACAAAAACAGACAATTTAAATTATGACATTCTGCTGACCTCTAGTGGCAAAGGTAGAACCTACAACATATTACTAGATAAAAAGTCTGTTATATGCTGGTGTTGTTGACTACAGGGGTGCATTACAACCAATAAATGGATGAAAGTAATTAGCATTAGCATGAGCACCTGAAATAGAACATATACAATAATTAAAACTCCTGCTTCTAACACTTACATGTGGAGACAAAGTCTACAATTATACAATTATACCTGACACCTTTAAAAAAAAAAAAATCAACTAGCTGTGGTGCTAACACAAGGTTAAACCCATCTTACCTTGATGTGGACAGGAAACGAGTAGATAAGGTCTTTCTGGACTCCATACGAATTACCAGTTGAATAAACTCCCATAGAAGTGAATTCTCCCTGAGGAGAAAAAAAAACAGGACTTGACCTGTCTGGAATACAATCATCAAGATCAAACCTCCAACACCAACCACAGACGTACAACAACACCGTGGTCATCAGACTGAACACTGAAGTCTGAACAGTCTACAGCCCTGAAGTGAAACCCACATTTCAGAGGAAAATAACATCCCGTCCTGTACCGTAGGACTCGACCCTGACCTACTGAAGCGAGGTCATGATTTCAAATAACTACGGACATCAGGAAAACAAGGAAACAGGAAACAAACACAATCCGGAGACTGGACGAGATAAATGGAAACGATCGCCTGCTCTGACTCTAATGTGTTTCCCCTTATTTTTCATTTTTGCATACATGTGATAAAGTGTGTGCACTTCAAACAGGGTTTACCTCAGGGGTGCCTGACCAGATGTCTCTCATGTGGTCACAGATGGCCTTGGCAGCCGACATGGCGCTGGACAACTTCCTGGCCTTGATGACTGCGGCGCCTCTCTGCTAAACCGCCTACAGTGACAAGATCGTTGCATAAATAATGTAGGTTGTTCATTATTGAGCAGCCGACACAGGAGCCGCATACGGCGACAAAATGTCTCTCTTAGTTTCACTCATAATAAACACGATCAGCTCACAGATATGAAGTCTCCTTGTAGCCAGGCATCGTCCTTGACCGCATCGTAGCAGGGCACCTCACTACCAGAGATGTTGACCAGGCAGTGGTGCACATCTGGGTACTGGGTGGATGAGTGGTTTCCCCAGATGATTACGTTCTTCACCTGGGTGGCAGGAACACCGCAGCGCATTGCCACCTTCAGGGCAAAAAAAGGTATTTCAGATTTCACAATCTCTCTAAAAATGAGGAGAAAAAATAAAAAATAAATCTAGAAAGACAGAGTTTGAGTCAACAGGAGAGGCAGGTGAAGAAATGCACCTGAGAGCGAGCCCTGTTGTGGTCCAGACGTGTGAGGCAGGAGAAGTTCTCTTTAGGGATGGAGGGAGCACACTTGGCTGCAATCAGACAGTTGGTGTTGGCAGGATTTCCTACAACCAGCACCTGAAAAAAAACAAAAACAAACAAGATGCACAAGTTAACTTATTTTAGAACCACATTTAACACCAAAGGTCAAACAAAGTTTTACAAAACTCAGTGATTTAAACTACATTTAAACAGTAACCAAGAACTAAGAGTTAAAAAAGAAAAGAAAATCCTCTTAATGATTTTGTGTAAATATTCAAAAGTGAACAGCGCCTCCTGTAGGGACTGCCACTGATGATAAATGACAAATGTATTTGTTGTCACCTTCACAGTCTTTTTTGCGAACTTCTCAAGAGCCGTTCCCTGGCTTTGGAAGATTTTCACGTTGGCCTTGAGCAGGTCTTTCCTTTCCATGCCATCTCTCCTGGGCATGGAGCCCACCAAAATGGCTACATCCAAGTCCTTGAACGCCACCTCTTCTTGGTCAGTGGGAATAATCTCTGTGGATAAAGGAATACAAAACAAATGACAAAAGTGCCTTCAGTGTCTTCATAAACAGTACATTCATTCATGGCCTTTTCATCCCAACACTGCGAACAGTGCAGTGACCAGAAGTGACGGTCATTAGCAGCTGGTCGTGTTTGTCTCGGCGCATGACGTGTTGTCTGTGTAGCTAGCTGGTAAGTTCAGGGGCCTCTCACAGCCCCTATACAAACAAAGCCCCATGTCAAAGGAAAATAGTCCAGGTCACAATGGAGATGTTACATAATGGGGCCTCACAAATGATATGACAGCAGAATGATGGACACTTGATCTTTGGCTGTTTCAGGAAAGAAAGTAGGCGGACATTTTTTTTTTTGTAGTTTCTAAAAGATGGGACATGATTGTGTCACAAATGCAAAGTGGATAATCGCATGTGTTGCTGTTATTATGGTGTGTAAGGCCAAAAAATATATGTATATTTGCAGAGACAAGACCTGAAAAAACACGATAAAAAAAAAAAACTTGGCAAAATTGAAGCAAACGAAGCTAACGTTTTACTGCTCTTTCACAAATTTATTGTATCATCAACACATTATGAGGACTGTTAATCACTTTGCATTATATTAGTATTGATATTATGAGCCAAGGTAATAAGCAGAGAAGATTTTTAAAATATCTTAAACAAATTCAGCCAACAACAACCTTTTTTTTCTAGCAGTACTTGGTAACGTGAAAAAGCAGGGATATGTGATAAAAAACAACTGACTATCCCTTTAAAAAATGTTTACCTCTCAACAGTGGGAGGGCACAGTCCTGCAGCTCCATGACCACACCATTAAGAACTGTCAACATTGGTGTGATGTCCAACAGGAGCAGGATGATTGGCTGGAAGATCGATGGAAGAAGAAAACAACGCACTTACATCACATCACACCATTATAATTAAGTTCTGTCAACACTGCAGCTCGATGAACGACGCCTCCTGCGTTACTGAATGCTACACGTGTCACATGGATCGTGTGGCTGGAGAATGTTAGCTGAAGACCTGACACAGGATCCTTCTCCCTGACTGGTGTAAGACTCTTAAATGTTACCCCTCCTGTGGTATCCAACCATTGAACATTGTCCTCTTGGAAATCTGCAAAATGCCTCCATGTGGCACTAAAAATACCCACTGACATCTACAGCTGCCTGCTGTCAGAATCCTGTACATGTGCTGTGACACTTCCTGAAGTGATGGAAGAAAAAAAAGCCATTCACTACCTGATCTTTGCCAAATACATCTCCTTTTGCAATGCTGTATAGCAGAGAATAGGCAATCTGCCCAGCAGCACCGGTCACCAGAACTCTGATAGGCTCCGACTGAAAACACAAAGAACAACAGTTCAGTGCATTGAAGTGTTGGTTTGCACGTGTGATCAAGTAATTACTACATTTAAAATGTTCAGAACAAACAGGGCGTAAGGACATTACTGCCTTTGTGCTTAAAAACATAACGCTCTCAAATTAAATTTAAAAAAATCTGTTCAAACATGATTTACACCAAACGAGATAAACTGGTTTATCAGGTACATTATTAACTTATTTGAACTTCAAACTACCTTTCACTCGGTTCAAAGAAACAATACCAAAAAAAAAAAAAAAAAAAAAAAACCAAAAGGAGCCAAAAAAAGGGTTAATTTTGCT